TACTGACTATTTTTCCAAGTTTCTAATGGCATTCCTCTTGGAGGCATCTATGTCAAAGGGGCATGAACTTTGGGGTAGCCTCATTGAACTGTCTGAGATCCAAAGGTCTCACTCAAGCAGGTGGTTTAAAAGCACAAACCATGAAATGTAGGCGATGATAGGAACATCACTACATCTGGGCTCAATGCCAAAGCAGAAATCATGCTCAGAAGGCAGGTTCGGACAATCCTGTTGAGCCATCAGCTGTCCAAGTTCCTAGAAATTTGGGACAAACATCTCAGAAAATGAGGGAGAATGAAAATGGTACATGTCTGACATGAAGGTGCAGAACTGCCTAATCTATGTGTCGGACAAGAAGTGGAGAGACATGCGCATGACCCAGAGTACCTGGCTACTCACACATATCCAGATGGATCTTAGATCCTACAAAGTCACAACACTTAATGATGTGACAGTCAGGAGGACCAGAAGCTAATTGAGGGAATTTTGCAACCCAATAACATCCAGTACACTGAACATGCATAGAACACATCCAAAGCTAAGCCCAGAGTGAAATTGTGGAAGACCAGCTTGAAAGAAATGTTCTCTTTAACGTACCTATATGTAAAGGATATGCCATCACAGCATATGGGAGGATATTTAAACCACCCATGCTTTGTAGACTCTATACTCAAATCCGGGCTTCCTGACATGGAGGTGGAGGGGTGTGGGGTTGTGAGCTGAAATTTTGGGATCATGAGCTCAGAGGCAGTAATGTCTGCCCTGGAATTCTGACCAAATTATAACAGCTGTATTCCCTGGCTCTCACGAACACATTTCCCCACTCCTTGCTGTCACAGTTCTCACTGAGGGGTTGTGACAATTTTCAACCCTCAAAATGAGGTCGCAGAGGAAAAAGATTTGGAAAGCCTAGTCTTAAATTCCTCAATGCTTACTTCTGTGCATGTAATTTTTGCAGCTATCTTGATGTTCTCATATTTTCATTCTTAATTGATCCTGGGAATCCTGCAATTGAACTTCAAATAAACAGAACCAATGTCCATTTGGGGGCAGCATGGTGGCTCAGTGGCTAGTGCTGCTGCCTCACAGCGCCAAGGACTCAAGTTTGATTGCCCCACCCTTGGGCGACTGTCTATGTGATTGTACATTCTCCCAATGTCTGCATGGTTTCCTCTGGGTGCTCTGGTTTCCTCCCACAGTCCAAAGATGGATTGGCCACGCTCAATTGCCCATAGTGTCCAGGGTTGTGCAGCCTTTGTGGATTAGCCATGGAAAATATAGAGGAGGGGTTGGGTGGTATACTCTTCAGAGGATCGGAGTGGACTCGATGGACTGAATGGCCTGCTTCCACACCATAGAGATTCTATCATTTATCAGTTCTGGAGAGAGATTGGTAATTTTGATCCAAAGGCCTCACTCGAGCAGGTGCCTTTAAAGCGGGAATCCTGAAGTGCAGGCGACAAAACAACATTTCTGCATTGCTATGCTACATTTGAGGGCAACAATTCTACGTCTGGTCTCAATGTCACAGCAGAAATCATGCTTAGAAGGCGTACAATAAAAAAAACCCAGCCAGAAGGTTGTGATAACTGAGCTATGGCAGACAGGTTCAAGACTGTATTTAATGGAGGTAAAAACCGAAAGAACTGCGGATGCTGTAAATCAGGAACAAAAACAAAGTTGCTGGAAAAGCTCAGCAGGTCTGGCAGCATCTATGAAGGAAAAAACAGAATTACCGTTTCGTGTCCGGTGATCCTTCCTCAGAACCGTTCTGAGGAAGGATCACCGGACCTGAAATGTTAATTCTGTTTTTTCCTTCACAGATGCATTTGATGGAGGTCATGGAGGTCTTGATCACTGGCTGGAGAGCTGACCAGGTCTTGTGTCCTTGCTTTTTGGAAAGGCCCTCAGAAGTAAGTTCCCATCGGGTACGATATGGGGTGGCAGTGGACCATACCTGGGAGCAAAGGTCTCAGGTGCTCATGAGATCTACTGGCTAATCAGACCCTGACAACTCTTCACTGCTCAGCAGCACCACCAGGGAATTGGAGGCTGCTGCTGGTACTACAACCACCTGAGGCACAGAATTGAGAATGGACCCAGGCATGGGAGAGTTGTAGAATGATGGAGTTCACAGGGTAGGGGTGCACACAGCAAGGACTGCGGGTGGTTCTCACCTTCCTTTTGTGATACCAAATCCCTCAATCATACGCTGTAATCTGTCTACAAGTGATCACTTCTGTCAAACAGAAGTGTTTAAAGAAACATTTGCTGATGTTGCAGCGCTTGTTATTTGAATTAGAGTCATTTCAGACTATTTCCAGCTGGATATGACAAACATGATGGGCAGAGACACAGTCTGAGAATATTCCTTGATTCGACTAAACAGATGAAGAGTCTCAATATGACTTGAAATATTTCATTACATTGGAGTATCATATCGTTAAAATGATTGAAGTGTATTTGGTTGAGGCAGATTTTCCCTTCTATTACACAAATAAAATCAAATGAAATATAATTTTTGGCAACATTGCCTAATCTACGTTTAACAATTAAATCGAGAAAAAAAACAGATCCGTGGAAATTTCAGTTCAGTATCCGGTTTTAGTGTTCCAGCTCAAACTTGGTTTATCTTTAGTAACTCAAGCCATGTTTCCATATCAGATCTTTGTGTTTTTTTTGGAGATGGTTTCGTTGGACCAGGCCTGAGGTATAAACATTTCCACTGATTGTGTTCATAGGAACGTTTTGAGCAACGTTAGGAGGGGTTAACTTTCCAGTAAATCAACCAGTTGGAAATTATAATCTTTTAAGATTTTATTTTTCCATGACATGTGGGTGATGCTGGCAAGATTTGCATTTGTTGTCCATCTGTAATTGGCCTTAATCTGAGGTGGCTCTCTAGGCCATTTCAGAGGCAGTTAAGTGTCAACCACACTGCTGTGCATCTGGAGTCGGATGCAGGCCAGATGCAGTAAGGGCAGTAGGTTTCCTTCCCTAAAAGACATAAGTGAACCAGATAGATTTTTAACATAGTTGGATAGTCACCATTACTAGGTTAGCTTTTTAAAAAATTGTATTTCTATTCCACCAGCTGCCATGGTGCGATGTGAATCTACAGCCAGATAGCATTAGCTTGGACTTCTGGATTACTAGTCCAAGAATGATATCATTACTGCCAACTCCATAAAAAATATTGTAATGAACGTGTTTATCATAAAGAGTGGAATTTTTCTCTTACTGCGAGTAATAACTATGCATTGTCTTTTTAATGTTTTGAAGACAACAGCATCAACACAAAAACAGAAACTGCTTGAAAAGCTCAGCCGGTCTAGTAGCATCTGTGGAGAGAATTTTTGGGTTCAGCGACCCTTCCTCAGAACAGGCATCAATAATGTTGGAGTTTCTTATTTTCTAGGATGCTAAGCTCTGGTTACAATAGCAATGCTTTATACAAACATGGGAAGATTATCTCTGGCCAATATTCCAACAGTATGTTTTCAGAATACTGTTACCAATACACTTGAAATACTGAACAGAAGTAAATATTCTAAATAAAACAAAAATTGCTGGATACACCCAGCCAACAGGTGACCATCAGTGAGAGAGTAAACAGAGTTAATGTTTCAGGTGAATGTGTCTTCATCAGTACTGAAGAAATTTGAGATTCCTGGGAGAGAAGTTACAGCGAATTAAACGCCGAAGGCCAAAGAATTGTCACTCATTTGCTTCTGAGGTCAGTACATGAAACAACCAGAGGAATGCATGCGGCATGGTTCTAGGCCATGTCTGGGTCCTGGTGCCTACTGGTGAAGGTGGTGGCATTCCAGCTGTGACAGTGTGAGGGGCTCGGGGCATCTGAGTGTTCGCAGACTGAGGGATGGACTTTGTGCCTTTGGTTTTCTGGCAGCAAGGACTTATGGCAAAAGCAGGAGAGTGATTTGGTGTTTTCCTTTTCTTTTGGCTGTTTCTTTTATTGCTGCTTCTGTTTTCTAATCCTGTCTTTGTATTCTAAAATGGTGCCAGAGAATGGCGACTTGTACACTTTTCACTGTACTCCTGTACACGTGACAATAAATCTAATTCTAAAATTCTAATTCACTGACACAAACACAGAAAGTGCTAGAGAAACTCAGCAGGTCTGGCAGCACCTGTGGAGAGAGAAACAGAGTTAAATGGTTTGTGTCCTGTTTGACTCTTCTTCAGAATTGCGCTCAGGGAACATAAATCCTCCATTTGTTCAGAATCATAAATATAATTTCCCAGTTAACCTCCAAAAGAAATTTCCACCCTCAGTTTGTAGGAAGATGTGAATATATATTTACAATAGCAGCTTGCTCCACCTCGTACACTCAAAAGTCTTCCCTTTACAGGAATTAAGGAACTCTGACTTGCAAAGTGCTCCATAATGCTCCCATTCTGGTCTTCTTTTTCCCAGTTTAGCAGTAATCACCTACATTTCACATTTTCTGTGTTTTTTCTGATGAAATGTTCCTCTGATTCATCGAAGAACCAGCTTCAATCTTTGCATTCTGGCCTCCTTTATGTCTGACAGCATCCTGCCCTTTCTTCCTCTTCAGCCTTTATCTGTTTATTATATCCTCCTTTGCTTCTCTTTACATCTATGTCATTGATCCAATGTTCAATATTCTTCATTGCTATTGTCCATTTTGCACTGAGATGTTTTCTGTTTTCTTTACTAATGCATGTGACCCTGCACATTAACATGAAATGCTACAGAAAAATTAAATACCTTACCACCTTGATGTAATGCTGAACAAGTAACTCCTCCCACTTCTATAAATGGTTTCTTTAATATTTAACTTAGATCACAACCTTCAAATCCTCTGTTATTTCACTGTTAAGGTTTCATTATACAGGTCTTTGATCAAGTACAATAACATCCTGTTGTAACCTTACAGATATTGCGTTTAGTGGTTCTCATAAATTTAAGCTGGTTGAGCATGTGTGAATGTCAGAGGTGAAACAATTCAAGTTAATTAATGTTTGCCAATTTTAATGACAGTGTACAATAAAATTCTTAAAAAAATGTCTTTGATGCTTAGATACATAATGTACCATGCAAAGTGATTAGTGTCAGTATACAAGTGAGATACTTAATATATGTATTTAAATAAATGATATAAAATAATTGGCATATACCAATACGTCACCCAAAATTCAGAACATGCCAGGTATAATACAGAATGCCTGTCCTTAAAATAACATAGGATCATGCAATGTAAGACTGTTCAAACCTGGGAACATCCTTCAGGGAACAGATGTCCCAAATACATGGGGGGAAATTGCTAAAAAATAATGAAGTGCATTACTTTCAAGGTGCTGCAGAAAAGTTATCATTGTGCTCCAGTCACAATAATGTAATATTGGGTTGGCTTGTTTAAAAATATAGATTCTGTCGCCATCAACAAAATTGGACATTATGGTACCTTGCATATCAAATAGTTCATCATAGAGAACATTCCTTACAGAAAAACCAGACACTGTTAGTTCAGACTGACCACATATAAAGTTCTGAAGGCTCCCAATAATTCTTTCCAATATGAGGACATATTTCTTAACTTCAATTGAGCATGGACAAAGCGGCCACATTAACTTATTTCCAACAACTCAGTGCCTTGACCCATAGAGTCATCTCCAAGTAACTCCTTCCAGGGAATGTACTTGGTGGCTTAGAAAGAGGGACTTACTATAAGCAGTGAGTAGGTGCTTAATTGGAGATTTGCACATAAACGATGGAATGATATGGTTTTCTATTGCAATGTCATGGGCTCTTCCCAAATACAATCCAATATTGGACCGAGTTGTAAAATGTTTGCATCATGATAGACTTTGCGTTATGAATACCGGTGGCAATATTTATTTATGTCTCGTAGCATCAAGTCTTCCTTTGGCTGCCAGAGCCTGACAAAGCTGTTGTGCTCCAGTAGAATTCGGTTCAGTGTTTGCTCAAAGTTCACATGTCGCCTTGCCATCATGATGTACTCTCGCTTTTCTAGAATATATGGACAGTCACATGTGTTTGGCACCCAGATGTATTCCCTGTGGACAATGGGATATTTGTTCTTGTATGTTTGCCTGATTTGCACATCATATCGAGTCTCCGACCCCACAACTGCCTTTCTGAGGACTCTTCCACGAAAAACTGGTGAGGAAGGAAAGTAGAAACATTTATGGACCAAAGTAGGTGTAGGATTTTTTTTTCTGATGATTTACTTTATTCCATATTCCCTACTCTGTACATTCCTTTCTCAAGGAAACAGGCTCTGCTTATCTCAGCTGGTGGCATTCACACTTCACTAACCATGGGTTTGAGCATTTGGACAAATTATTGAAGCGAAGTATGCTATGTCTGCTTAAGGACAGGCCAAGTGTCCTATTGCATTACTCAAAGAGGATAAAGGAGTTCTTTGGTTGGCCTGGGCAACATTCCTGTCCCAGCTAACACTACCAAAATTGATAATCTATTCACTTATTTATTGACAGCTGTGGGACTTTGCTTTAGTCAAAATAGTTTGAAGAGTTGGCCTACCCAACAATTGGTATCAATGTCAATTAAAAGCCGCAATTGCACATCAAAAAATGATGCTGGGGAGGTGCCGGTGTTGGACTGGGGTGGACAAAGTCAGATGTCACACGACACCAGGTTATAGTCCAACAGGTTTATTTGAAATAATAAGCTTTCAGAGCACTGCTCCTTCATCAGGTCACCTGAAAGCTTGTGATTTCAAATAAACCTGTTGGACTATAACCTGGCATCATGTGACATTGAAAAATGATTCATTGGACATGAAGCACTTGGGGATGCCGGAGGATGTGCTTTGATGCCTTGTAAATGCCATGTTCTTCCTTTCTTCTGTTACATTGTTCCATTCTGAGAAATCAAAGGAACATTTAGAAGTACAGTGACTACATATAAATTCTCCCTTTATTCTTGTTGGAATGGCCTGACCATTACCTGATATCAGAAACATGGGTTAGTTTAGGTGGATCCACCAACATTTCAAAGATTACAGCACTCGACATTACTGCAGCAAGTGCATTTTTTGTGCCTTATCTAGTATTAAGGTACTGGAATTTTATTTGTAGCTGGGTCAGCTCCATGAGCCCTGTTGTGTGACCCTGTTATTGCCTGTCCTTTTGGCGTTACAAAGCTAAGAGCAGAGATGGATGTGACAGGAGCATAAACAGAATTTTGCCATTGTGCTGATGGGTAATGTCTTTACAATGGGAGGTACCGACGTAAAACACACACATAATAGCAGATAAGTGAGTGACAGCTGAACATTTAACCACACAGGAATGATTAAAACGTCATTTTGCAACTGGCTGATTGCTAACCCTACGTCCATCATGCACACATACAGACAGACTGCATATTTGTAATGAACCTGTTTAGAGATGTAATGACACACCTCTAGAGCAGGCAGGGTTTGAAGCCAGGCTTCCTGATCATTGAATACTGACCAAATGCGGCTTCTGTTGATTTTCTTCCCCTAATTGGCTCAAGGACACCGAAGCTAATTGTAGAAACCCTACTGATACTGTTCCTGAGACTGACACAAACAATGCCGATCCCAGTATTTTCTTTATCTTTGTGGCTTTGGTGCACATTGGTCACTAATGTATTTATGTCCTGCAAGGAGCATTTATTTAGCTTTCCTGTTAGTTCCTCTGAAACAGAGGCAGATTCACTGATCCCGAATTCCCAGATGCTAGCTGAAAGGGAGGACGGATAAGGCTAAAGCTTGATAATGCCAATTCTTTAACCTGTACTCCCTGAGGGTCAGGCTTCATGCTGTGAGCAATGAATACACTCCACAGAGCTGACCTCTGCTGCAAAAATAAACATAAGAAAATTTGTAATACAGAGATGTCGCTGCAAATTAGAACCAGCACTTGTAATGAGGCTGAGAAATAAATTCATATACCTTGCAATTAGCTCCTATTATTGCTAAAGTAATGGTTTTATGTTTTATTGATGTCTTACCAAAGTCTTTCTGGCAGTACTGTTTAATCCTTTGAGATTTTCCTTTTGACTTCTTACACTTTCTACAGTAACCTAAATCAGAGATAGACAGTGATTACTTACATGCACCTGATCATCTTCAATATGCCAATTAATGCATACCATCTATCAGAAGGAGTTATTGCTCAGGCAGCAAGTAATAAAAGCTCTCCCTGCTGTACAGAGCTTTATTAGACAGTCAGCAAATAGTGAGATTGTTCACAAAGGATGGTCAGCTTTTCATGTCAGCAGCTGGGAGAAGGAGATCGAAGCTTTTGGTCCAGTTTTAAAATAAATAAAGAATCCCCTTTCCATGGACTTGGACTCAGCTCCATCGAGGTTTCATTCAGATAGGAGTTGTTTGTATTGAAGAATCATACATTACGCTTCTTCAACATACTCCCTCCTGTGTGCTCGAAATCATTCAAACTTGTTTGTGATCTAATGGATCTGGAAATTGCACACTCTCTCTCTCTCACATTTTGCCTCTTCCCAGTCCCTGCTTTTTAGCATGCCATCTGTGGCTCCCTTAGTAGTTCACTTAACTCTAAACCATTCAGGCTGTGGGTTCATGTCACACTCCAGCTCCTGAACATAACAATCTAGGCTGACACTCAGTGCAGTACTGAGGGAGTTATGTACAGTCAAAGATATTGCCTTTCAGATGAGGTGTGAAACCAAGGTACCATCTGGCCTGTCAGATGGATATAAAATTTTGAAGAGGAAGCTTTTCCTGGTGGCCTGGCCAATACTTATCCATCATTTGCTATCACAAAAGCAGATATCAGGTCATTCTCACATTGCTCTTTGTGTAAACTTGCAGTTTGCAAATTGGCTACTGTGCTTTCTATATTCTGATAGTTCTCTGTTGTTTTTAGAGGGATTTGAGATATCTAGTGGCCAGAGAAGGCACCATGTAAATGTAAATCTTTCTCCTCTGGTGTTTGCACGTGGCAATTTTGGAGAACCTCACACTTGGCAAAGTAGCAACCTGCCCCAGCAGTGCATTTGGCTGGGAGTGAGACACAGTCAGAGAAACACGGTGGAGAGATGACAGGAGGCTTAACATTCATTATTTCTTTCTAGATGTTAACAGTTCAGCAGCTGACAGGAAGCCCACTCACTGGGATACTGATCTCCCAATGTTGTCTTAGATGACTGACAAAAGAATGTGTTTTGACTGTCACAAGTAGTTTTGTGTAGACACGCTATTGCTGTTGAGATTTTATCAGCATATCTGTACCATTTAACACGTATATTGTAAGCATTTCCATTACACATCATTCCATGACCGTTCCGCCTCAGACATGGAAAGCCAATGCCGTCATTACGTGAGTTCTTTCTCACTGCGTGAGCCAAAACATTGATTTCATTAAAGCAACTCAGAGTCAAGCCTTGGCGGAAGCAAAAACATTGTTGATCTAGCATTGATGATTGATCATTGTTAATCTAACATTGGGTGTGAGATTGTGCAGCCGCCATTTGCAGTGAAACTGTAAATAAAGAGCTTGTTTGATTTGGCTACAAAGAGCAAACATGAGGCTCTGTGTGTGGCCAATCCTATCTCAACATTTAAGCTACTCTGTAATCAAAAACAATTGCACCATTAAAGATGCCTCAGGTTTAGTGAATAAATATCAGAATACCAACGTGGTCATTGAAAATTCACCCTGTAGAGCTCACTGAAATATTTTGCTGGATTGAAATTACACTGTGCTTATTAGGAACAATAATGTTAACTGTTCATCAGAACAAGATTTGGTCATATAGCCTTTCAAGCTTACTCTGTGATTGGTCATGACAGTATTACCTTTTCAATTCAATTCATGTTCTTTCTTTATTGAGGTTTTTATTTGTTTTGAATTCTGTGATCTATGTGAGGTCTTACCTATGAAATGCTCCTGGATAACTTCTTTGCTAATTCATTCACAGGATGTGGGCGTTATGGGCTAGGCCAACATTTATTTTCCATCCCTAATTGCCTAGAGGGTAGTTGAGTGTCAACCACAGTACTTTCAGTTTGGAATCACATTTTGGCCAGGCCCAGGAAGGACAGCAAATTTCCTTCCCTAAAGGACATTACTGAATCCAATAATTTGATAATCCCAATAAATTTGATAAGGTAAGATATACCTTTCCCTACTGTATATAAAATATACTTAAATATTGTAGAGGAAAAGTCCAGCTTGTCCATTGAGTTTATCATAATCATGATGCTCTCCACATCCCAACATCCATTCTGACCCCCACGATCCACTCAGAGCTATGTTACTTCCTGGGAAATGCAAATAAAATAAACATTAATGAGAAACAAAGCTTGTTTCTTGTGGTCCTTTGACGGTCTCACTCACTGGGCTCATGGCGCGTGGATTGGATGGGATCCCTCGGTAATATATTTTGAAAGTGATCTACTTGAGCAGAATGCACTGGTGGTCGCTGTGCAGGGTGTACCCAGCCTGAAGAGAAAGAGGGAAAGGGGAAAATAATTGAAATCTCTGTTTCGCTCAGTAACACAAGAACCTTATCACCTTGTCTCAATCCAATGCACCTGAAAGAAATGTCTACAATGAAGACTGTTCCTCTAACACTCTTAGCTGGTGAGGTCTTTTTAACTGTGTCATTGCCTGGGACACTCCCACATGAGCAGAGTAGCTGGAATACACAATTATCTATTCCCTGGTAAATCAAGGATTTTGAAAGCGCCTATTAGGCCATCAGGAAGCTGTGCATTTGCTCATTGTCCATTGGCACAATTCCTCCTTCCCATGCCTTTTTTAGATTTCCTGAACATTTGCTCCCACCAGATTTTTCCACACAGTAGGTTGTTGCTTGTCTCTGTTTTTATGCAATATACACACAACCTTATTGTCGTCAAGTACTAGGGTGGGATTTGAACCTGAGGTTTCTGGCTGAGTGGCATGGATACTACTGACCACAAGACCTCCAAATGTTGACAATGCCATTCAATATTGTTGCTTCTGTAACAATACAAGACACTGGTAATCATAGTCCTACAGTCAGACAGAAGGTGGTCCATATGTGGAATGAGCTCCCACAGGAACTGGTAGATGCAGGTATAGTTACAACATTTAAAAGATATTTGGACAGGTACATGGATAGGAAAGGTTTAGAGGGATCTGGGCCAAATGCAGGCAAATAGGACCAGTTGGTCAGCATGATCGAGTTGGGCCAAAGGGCCTGTTTCCAATCATACATTTTCATTGAGAAATAGCACCAGAATAGGTCTCAGTTTGGAGTTGCAACAATGTAGGGTCGATAATCTGAGCTGCACTGTCCATGAGTGATGACTCTACGCTAGGAATAAGGAAGGATGGAACATAAAATACCATTATAAGCAACAAGCTTAAAGATGAGCATGGATATGTAAATGATTCCTGCGTTCATTGAGATCTGTACTTTTATACATTTATGGCACATGGGCATTTATTGCCGGTTCCTAATTCTCCTGATGAAAGTGGTAGTGAGCTGCCTTCTTGAACCACTGCAATAGGGTATAGAGACATGTAGGCTGCTGTTGGGAAGTGTGTTCCAGTAATTTCACCCAGCTATCATGACATATTTCCAAGTCAGGATGACATGTGACTTGGAGGGAACTTGCAGCTGATGGTGTTCCCATGCACCCCTGTCCTGCTGGATGGCAGAGATTGCACGTTTGGAAGATGTTTTCAGAGAACTTTGGTAGGTTGTTGCAGTGCATCTTATAGATGGTGCACATTGTTGTCACTGTGCATCGGTGGTGAAGGGAGTGAATGTTGGAGGTGGTGGATAGGGTGTCGATCAAGCAGGCTGTTTTGTCTTGGATGGTGTCAACTTTCTTGAATGTTGTTGGAGCTGCACTATCCAGGCAAGAGGGGAGTATTCCATCACACTCCTGACTTGTGCCTTGTAGATGGTGGTCAGCAGTGGGGAGACAGGAAGTGAGTTACTCCACACAGAATTTTTGTTTTTATATTTTAGCTGTGGTTCCTTGTGTCTTGTGAGGCCATTCAAAATCAGGCATGGAGTTACAGTCATAGGGTCATAAAGCATGGCAACAGACCCTTCGGTCTAACCAGTCCATGCCAACCATAATCCCAAACTAAACTAGTCCCACCTGCCTGCGCTTGGCACATATCCCTCAAAACCTTTCATTTTCATGTACTTATCTAATTGTCTTTTAAACATGGTAACTGTACTCCCACCACCAATTCCTTGGGAAGTTCATTCCATCCATGAACCATTCTCTGTGTAAAAGAATTGCATGTCTTTTTTAAATCTTTCTGCTCACACGTTAAGAATATGACCCCCCTTGCCTTGAAATACCGCCCTAGGGAAAAGACACCTGCCATTCAGGTTATTTATACCCCTCATGATTTTATAAACCTCTACAAGGTCACCCCTCAACCTTCTATGCTCCAGTGAAAAAAGTCCCAGACTGTCTGACCTCTCCCCATAACTTGAACCCTCTATTCCTGGTAACATCCAGGTAAATATCTCCTGAACCCTCTCCAGCTTAATAATATCCTTCTTATAACAGGGCAACCAGAACTGGACACAGTCATATTTGAAATTTCCGACCTGCTTGCCTGGATCATGTAGGGTGGGGGTGTTATGGTGTCTATGTTAGTGGCAGTCTATCTGTGTTTCCCATCATCACCCCACTTGCCCACACACCTCCAGAAACACAGTCTCACAATGTTGATCATGTACAGATTAGCGCACATGTCTAAAAGCCATGTGCTGCCACTCGGGGCCTCACTGCCCTCTCTACTGTGATGACCCCCCATCCCTAGGACTGGGCCTCAGCAAGAATATCTTTTATTGCTCCCATGTTGCTGTTAGAACCTCATTAATTGCCTCCTAAAGGGTGTCAGTAGGCAAAAGGATAGTAAAGCCTTCCATGGTTTTTCTGTTCTAACAGTGATGAGATGATCTGGTGCCCCTCACGTATTTGAGCTACGTGCTGACCAATCCTGCAGCCTTATTGGTCTAAGGACTTGCGTTGAAAGATGAACTACAAAAAAAAAATGTCAGCGGAAGAGGCTCTTAACCTAGACCATGCAGAGACTTGACCTGGCAGATGTGGAAAGGATGTTTCCACTTGTGGGAGAACTACGGGTCATAGATTAAAATAAGGGGTCGCCTTTTATTTTCTCTCAGAGGGTTGTAAGCCTTTGGAAATCCTTCCTTAAAGGGCAGTGAATGCAAAAACTTTAAATATGTTTAAGTCAGAGGTAGATAGATTCTTGATTACCAAGGGGTTGAAAAGTTATCAGGGATATGCAGGAATGTAGATTTGAGGCTAAAATCAGATCAGCCATGATCTTATTAAATGGCAGAACAGACTCAAAGGGCTAGTGGCCTATTTTTGTTTCTTATTTGTATGTTTGTAAGAAAAGGTTTATTATATCTTAGTAACTAAATACTTAGTACCTACACACTTGTGCTAACACGAGGAGTAGAGACATGACTGTCTCCAACTACAACTGTCCCTCACTGCCTGTTGCTCCACCTAGTGGTGGTATTACGTATCTGGGTGGGTGGAACTACAGAGACAACAAGGTGCAGGGCTGGATGAACACAGCAGGCCAAGCAGCATCATAGGAGCAGAAAGGCTGACGTTTCGGGCCTAGACCCTTCATCAGAAGAGGGGGAGGGGAAGGGGGTTCTGAAATAAATAGGGAGAGAGTGGGAGGCGGATAGAAGAGGGATAGAGGAGAGGATAGGTGGAGAGGAAACAAACAGGTCGAAGAGGCGGGGATGGAGCCAGGAAAGGTGAGTGTAGGTGGGGAGTTAGGAAGGGGATAGGTCAGTCCAGGGAGGACGGACAGGTCAAGGGGGCGGGATGAGGTTAGTCGGTAGGAGATGGGGGTGCGGCTTGAGGTGGGAGGAGGGGATAGGTGGGAGGAAGAACAGGTTAGGGAGGCGGGGACGAGCTGGATTGGTTTTGGGATGCGGTAGGGGGAGGGGAGATTTTGAAGCTTGTGAAGTCCACATTGATACCATTGGGCTGCAGGGTTCCCAAGCGGAATATGAGTTGCTGTTCCTGCAACCTTCGGGTGGCATCGTTGTGGCACTGCAGGAGGCCCAGGATGGACATGTCGTCTGAGGAATGGGAGGGGG